TGCTTTAGTATTCTGGATTCTGCTAACAACTCAATTGATTTAAAACTCAAAGAAGCTTTTTATATATAAATAAGATCAAACCTGAACTTAACAAACAATTACAGCATTATAACACTTTTTAGCGTTTTCACACCTTTGATGTTTGGTGTCACGTTGTAATGGCATAGGGTAAGATATGGACTGGACTGGACTATTTTTTAGACGATTTTTTGGACGATTTTTTAGACGATGTTTTGGTTGATTTTTTGAACGATTTTTTGGACCATTTCATAAGGGGGAGGCACACCTTTAGTACTCAGGGAGGGGTGGGTGCAGTCGACAAGTACTAAGGGAGAGTGGGGATGAGTGTTATTACTTAGGGAGGGGTGGTAGGCGGTTGTAATTGTAAACACCACTGGTTAATGGAGCTTTTACTCGATCGTAATAATTATTTTAATCGGTTTTTCGACTGACTTCTCCTACATCAACATTTTTCGCTGGGTCGCGGCGATTCTTTATTTTTTTAGCCATGCGAAAGCGAAACTGCCATAGGTTATGCGTGCGCCTTTTGAGTCCACTTGTGCACCATCAGTTTTCCTTTGTGTAATTACCAGATTTATCTATCTTTCTTTTGTCATTCATGTTATCAGACGAGATCACAGAATTTCAGTTCCTTGGCCATTGACTTTATCCGCAAGTAGAGAATTTACAAGCGCTATCGCAGATTTTAACGTTTGTACGTTTAGTATATGAAATCATTTTTGGTACAATCGTACAATGCAAAGCAATATTCTCTCAGATGTCTCGTAGCACAGACCTCGAAAACGCAGACCGCAGACCGCACACCGCACACCGCACACCGCACACCGAACACCTCGAAAAACGTGTATACAGTGTGTAATTACTAGATTTATCTCTCTTCTTTTTGTCATTGATGTTATCAGACGAGATCTCGGAATTTCCGTTAGGCGAAAGCGAAACTGTCACGTAAACACTGGACTTTAATTTACATTTAAAATACTGCGTTTACGATACGCCACTGTTGAGTTATCCGTGTGCCTTTTAAGTCGACTTGTGTGTCCGCTATCAGTTGCTTCACGTCAGTTTCCTTTGTGTATACAGTATGTTATTATTGAATTCATCTATCTTCCTTTTGTCAGTTATCTTATCAGACGAGATCACAGAATTTCGCACTACACCCGCAAGAGTTTGACTAATGGTCGTGGGTCGTGGGTCGTGGGTACAAGTCGTGGGTCGTGGGTGTGGGTGTGGGTGTGGGTGTGGGTGTGGGTAAAAGTTGTGGGTGCGGTTAAT